AGTGTAAAACAAAAACTGAGACTCTGTCTCAAAAAAAAAAAAAAAATTTTTTTTCCCTGGTCTTTTAAATATCAGGTTAATTTGAGAACTAATCTGAAAGGTAATAGTGAAAGAAAAACTCAGCACAAAAAGTTCTACACGCACAATGCTATCCCTCTGAGGCATATACAAGTAAGATGGGCAATACATAATTTAAAGAAATTCTTAGCCGGAAGTGGCACACACCTGTAATCCCAGTACTCTGGGAGGCTGAGGCAGGATAATCACCACAAGTTCGAAGCCAATCTGAGGTTTATAGAGTTCAAAAAAAAATAAAATTATCTACTCACCAGTTCAGGAAATAACCTGAGTTAATGCACCATAAATAGTCCTTAATCATTTGTCTAAATTTCATTTCCCTGTATTTTCAAATTATTTTAAAATGTCCAAAGATCCCCTCCTTAGACATTCCTTTTTTGGTACTGGGGATCGAACTCAGGACCTTCCACTTACAAAGCAGGCAGCAGCACCACTGAGCTAAATCCCCAGCCTTAGCCATTCCTTTTCGAAAAATACTTCAGGGAAGTCTAGCACTGATCTTGTTTTTTCACTATGTAGTTCAGGCTGGCCTCAAACTCAGTCTGTCCTCCTGCCTCAGTCACCTCACTCAGTGCGGAGTGCTGCGATTGCAGGTGCACCACCACGCCTGGTCAACCTTATTTAAAAACATATTTTTGAGAAAGATAATTACAATATTCTGAAATATATAAGCATCCTAAATTTTTCCAAATGGGATGGAGGATACTAACCCAAATCTCCAAAATCTGACTTTTTTTCCTGAGAATCGTAAGAGAAAGAGGCAAAGATTCCAGGATAGTGAGTAATCCACCTCATCTTCTTGCCAGAGGTTGGTACTCTTCCTACTACTGCCTTCTCACTCCTGTTTCTACCTAGGCTAGCCTCAGTCCTTTTCTCAGATGACCCTTGATGGCTCCCATTTGTTATTCTTGCTGTCCAGGGACTGGACCCAGGGCCCTGTGCTTGACAGGTAAGCTCCTACCACTGAGCTACAACCCCTTAAAATCTTAATTTAAAAGAGGGTCTTGCTAAGGATGACCTTGAACTTGTTATCCTTCTGCCTCAGCCTTTCAAATAGGTGCAAGTAAATGGGATTACAGGAATGTTTCACTATACCTGGCTCCACCTCAGTTTTTTACTTCAGGGTCTTTGCCCTTGCTGTCTCCTAGTTTGGACCACTCTTCCTCCTTTACTGGTCAGGTCTTTCCTCAAATGTTAACTTACTCATAAAGCATTCTCAGGGGACGCAAAGTCAACCCCCCCCAACTCCTGAATATTTTCTATCTCCATTTAATTTTCCTCATGTCAGTTACTTTACAGATAGTCCGACTTGGAATGGTTCAACTTGGCATTTTTTTCTACTGTGGTGCAAAAGCAATATGTGTTCTGGACTATCAATATGTACTATTAATCTCTGGCAATGCGAGAACAGCTCCCAGCCATGCAACCACGAGGGAGAACTGAGACTCCACTGTGGACTGTGCTGCTAAATTGTGACATGCAGCAGATTAGGCATATTAAATACATTTTTCAGCTTACCACCGGTTTATGGATATGTAGCACCATCATTAAGTTGAGGAGCATTGTATTAAGTATTTATTTGTCTAGAAATGCGCTCCAGGAGGAAAATTATCTGTTCTTCTCCTCCAAGAACTCAACAGTGTAGTAACTAGTCAAAATTTGTCAAATAGATGAATAAAAAAAATACAATTCCTTCTGCCTACCCAGACTCTAAAGTATCAAGTATCAAAAGTGTGTGAAACTCCATTCCTTTCTAGTCAATCAGTACCATCACCAGTGTATTCTTGTGTTAAATGTCGAAGTATCACTGAAATTTCTCCAGGTGTATGCCACTTTTACATTTTTTTTAAAGTCCTCGCTTGATGTCACAATCTGATGTAACAGAAATGTACATATTCCAGTTTAAGCAATCCAAAAGCTGCTGCACTGTTAAAACACATAAAAACATCAATGAATGAGAGAAAGCCTTTATGTTCTAACCAAAACTGGACAAACTCTAAGGGCAGAGCTGCAAATATTAATAAAGTAAAAGTTAATGTACAGAAAGGATGACAAAAATTTCTTGTTTCTAATCTAGGAAGTCATTAGATTCTAAAAAGGAAATACTACATAAGGAAAAAAAAAAAATCTTCCTTGAATACAACAGTGGAAACCAAAACTGCCTATTCAAGGTATATAGCACTGACAGGGGTTCTAGTCCCTTGCTTTCTTGGGAGTTATACTGGAATACTTACCTTTCTTACTGAGAGAGTAGATGTGTTTAAAGTGCTTTGACTTCAGGAGAACTGGGGTGAGTAGGAGGTGGGAGGGGGATTACTGAATAAATGCAAAGCAACCTAACTGCTTCCCAAACACGGTCATACACCATGTTTCTTTCATCCCCTCCTGCCCTGCTCGCTTGATTTATATATTTCGGCCACAAGATTGAAGTGCTCAGAGTGCTTAGTGGGAAACTGCTTACACTGAAGACTACTGCCCATCTCAGTCTGATGTGCATGTTGAGGTCCCCAAAGCTGCCACGGTCTCTACTTTCCAAGCCTCAGTCATCCCCAGGCTCCGATCACGGTTCTACCTGGCCTCGGGCCTGGGCCAGACCCCGTCCTCTCGCCCTGGACGCAGCCTCCCCCCATCCGGATGCTCCGGTGGAAGGCAGGGCGCACCTCTCCGGGGAAGGTGTGGGAGGGGGCCGGCGGGAGCAGCTGTCTGGGCGCAGCAGC